GTGATCAGTAGAAATGGCCATGTCATGGGACCTTTAAGTTGTTTTTACCACTATGAAATGAAACCAGGCTAGAAAGTGTGTCCGTCTATGGATCTACGTCGTGTTTCGATACTGTGGACAGTGCTGCAGCTACGCAACAAACACCACCGAGCACACAGCAAAAAAAGTGGTAAAACAATCAACTATAGGAGCAAAACTAGACCAATCAGATTCAACTATGTACATTCTCAGTTGGAGACGCTGACAGCACAATATCAACACTTACATACTGTAGCTAATGTGAACTTTGTGATGACTCGTTATTACCAGCAGTCCTTTAATAATACATAAGTAGATTGTATTCGTTGTTGATATATAACATTGATAAGAGAATCGTTAAACTATCTTTTAAAGAATAAAAAAAACTATATTTTTCTCCTGAGCCTAATCTTGACCTTGGCTAGCAAACTGCAGATGACCTCTCAGTGGACAGTAGCAGAGCCATATCAGACAGGAAAGGGGGGGGGGGCTTTAATGCCCTCTATATGCACCCTGTAGCCTGCAGCCTGGGGGAGGCCTGCTGAAGAGATTAGGAGTGTGTGTGTGTATGTGTGTGTGTGTGTGTGTGTGTGTGTGTGTGTGTGTGTGTGTGTGTGTGTGTGTGTGTGTGTGTGTGTGTGTGTGTGTGTGTGTGTGTGTGTGTGTTTTTTGGGACCCCTCACAGAAGATCTTCCCACTCTTTGAGTCACCCCCTTTTCTCTCTTTTCCCCCCATTCTAATCCTTAAACCTCTTAATCCTCCCTCCTCTCCATCCTTCTGTGCCCTCGCTCCTGACTTCCTTCCTCTTCCGTCCATCTGGTGTCAAGGGGCCAACAAACACCTTGTATCGGCCTCAGATCAAAACAAGGTTGAAGAATTTCAGAAATGTTAGAAAGAATCAAAGTAAAGCGAGAAGTGAATTCCATAAAGTCTTTGCGTACTAATTGAGTGGTGCAGGAATGAGTCCTAAAACCTGGAAATGGGTTAGCATTTGACCACTTCCTGATTCCTTGTCTGGAAGTCTTTATTAGTTGTTAGTTAGATGCCTGAAATAAGATATGTGCTCAACAAAAGCATAGGCGATTTTCATAAATATTCCAATGGTGAATGTCGGTAGTTGCTCTGCGTCATAAAAAGTGACCAAGTGAGGCTAGTAAATGTCATCATGCTGAACATTAGCCACCTTCAGCTTAGCGGTGTCCATGCGAAGCCACGTGACCGTGATGTACGGTAGTTCCTTTATATCCTAACATTAGCTTTACACTTCTGGTGATTTCATTTATACACTACGAGAGTCATAAAGTGGGTTTAAATATTTGAAAATGATCCTTCTGAACAAAGCGTGTAAGTATCATAAACGTGTGTTTGCCACATATCTTATTTCTGAAATATTCCGATGGAAAAATCCCATTTTTTTTTCTGAGCAAGCACTTGCGATGCTGACTTCAGTAGCAACAATTCTACTCTATTGAGACATGGAATATAAGAGCAGATAAAAAAAGATATAGGGTAACCATACCATACTGAAGATTACAGAAGAACAATATTGAGAGTCTGAAAATAGAAAACTAATCATATTTGACACAAAATTTATAGCAAAAGTTCTCCAAATATCTTATTTTCTGCAATATTCCTAAATCCAAGAGAAGAATCCCATTGCTTTTTGAGCAGGGAGCTCTCAAGGAGATGCTAACTTCCGGGTCGGCCTACACAAACACGTCATCACTGCACCACTCTATAGCGTGTACATGCCTTAACAGCAACACAAGCAGGTGCCTCCATTAACCCCACCCGTCACTCCAGCACGTCACAACCCGTCTGAAATGTCTACAACCTCTCCGCCGAGCACATCAATATTTTACACATTGTTTCTATATTTACATTTTGGAAACCTCAAAAGGTCCCAGGGGCTGATGGGAGCTTTTGATTAAAGAGAAAATATGTCCTGCTGTGCTGTAAGAGTTGTCTACGTCACAGCATGGGAGAGGTTGGTCACTGCTGCAGTCAGCACTTCACTCACTCCCCTCTGCATGACTAACATCCTCTGGATTAGGAACTCAATGGAGGTTTATCAAGTCAATGGAGGGAGTCTCTGACGTCTGTAGTGTATTAGAGGTGGACAAAGTGTTCGTTAGCACTTTGAATCAGTGAGTCCAGCTGCTGAATTCTCACAGCGAATGATTGGCCCAGAACCTGGTGTCCTGGCTCCGGGACACTTTGGTTTCTGCCAGGCTGGAGGGGGGTGAACTTGTGGCAGATAACATCCAGTATCAGTTTAACCTTATCACTGCCAGCTGCTCCGGTATCAGGCAGCTGACCAGGGGAAGAGACCTGACGTCAGGAACAGAATGTTCATCGTCCACTGTTCATAACTACTGAAATGGGTTTTATGAGTTACGCTGAAAGGGTGGTTTGAAATATATTGCTTACAAGAAACTCTATCACAGAAATAATTAAGACAATGTATCAGGTTTAAATGAATTGAATTGGACACAGTATTTGTGACCTATCTGGAATTTAGCCTGATAATTAGACTGACTTTCTTACGATGGTTGTTATATGTATTTATAAAATGTTTCTGTTGCACTATATTTGAATGCTTTTAATGTTTTCTTTTTTTTACTTTCTGTAAAGCACATGTGTTGAAATGTGCTATATGAATGAACTTGCCTTGCCTTGATATAGCTGGATCAGATATTGGTGACAGTGGATTGATATGGTATCCAATCTTTTAATTAAAAAAAACTAGTTTTAGTGGCCCTTCTTCTGTCACTATTTTTTCAAAAATGCAGTGACATGTCTCCGTGCTTTAATGTTCAAAAAGCTCTTTATTTTTCTCATACTGCCTCTTTTCACCCTCTGTCTGAAACCAGAGCCGAGGGTTGGCCAATAGAAGCGCATGTGTTACCTAATGACGTCGCTATAGCGCAGATGTAAATAAAGGACTACAATGGTGGCGTTTCAGACAGGGGGTGGGGGGGGGAGAGAAACTCAAATAGTAATAGGGCCCCTTTAATCTCACAACTACAACAAAAACCAGACCCATTCGAGTCCTTGGTCAATTCAGTTCAGTCAGAGATTCAAATGTGGGATCTAAATGTAGCTTTGTCAACTAAGATCAACGATGACAGCATAAACCAACTAGAAGGAAACTCAGAGAGCGCAGACCTTGGCTAAATTGCAAAATGTATCGGGATCTTCCTTGGGCCTTTAGTCTCTCCGTAACCCCACTGTCTAAAAGAATAATCAAATGATGGTGGAAACTCACAGAGTGCATCTACTATAACAATAATGATTCAATGGTTTTCCAATCGTGGTTCTATGAAGCTCTCAACGTGCATTTCAAGATATAAATGTTCTCTCAACACACCTGTTGCAAACTACTACATATAAATGCCATAATTAAATACAACAACACCCATTTAAAAGTTTTTTCGAAAAACTATTTTCCTTTCCTTTTGAATTAACTGAAACATTAGTATACAATCCTTTAACTATAACCTATAGCTATCTACTCTACAAATATAGCATGTATGCTAATGCTACTCCGTACTTTGAACTAATGGATGCCATATGATCCATCACTCAAGACACTGTTTATGGAAAAAATATGTTTGATGGTTTGCCAGGCATTTACAAGGCACCAGCATGTTCCTATTTATGAGACAGTGCTGTGAAATAATTCAATTTCAAGCTAATGTGAGAGTGTCTATGCATTCTGGGTCTCTACATTTTGGATTTCTTATCGGCCTGTTATTAAGTGCATTCGATGTTTAGCAGAGCTGTGACAAGATGTTATCTTTTTTTAAATGCATCGCCATGTACGGGAAAGTGAAGACGTCTATAATGAAAGAAAATGTCTGTATCGTCAATCCTTTATCCTTTACTCTGCCTCTGTACTGCGTACTGTATTAAAAATACTACTGCTTCACTAATGCTCACTTTCTGTAAAACCCAATTCCTTCTTTGTCCAGAGTGTGCTGGCCCCATCAACGGTTAGCCAGATGATGAGGCCATTATCTACTGAACCTGTGCCTCATAGAACATTAAATACATCACTTCCTCTCCAGATGCAGCTCCCCTTTAGGCAGCAGTCAGGAAATGAAAACAAATAGCCAAGCTAAGATTATTAGTGTTTGGCGGATGCATCGCCATTTGATCACCGTACAGAGGCTTTTAAAAAAGTGCTACAGTATATCCGGTCTCTTTTCCTCACATCTACCATTCCCCACCACACCCCATCTTCTCCTCTCCGCCGAGGGGAGCACCAATGATCGCACACACCGCCTCACCAGCGTCCATGTGTCGGCATTATCTAACTGTTAGTGTCGCTGCAGGCCCAGGAGCTATAATGTCATTGTTTTTCCCATTATTGTCAAAGTGATTTCTCTCCCTTTACACACACACAAAAACACACACACACACACACACACACACACACACACACACACACACACACACACACGCATGCATGCATGCACACACATTCATCTATATGACAAAGCCACTCTAGCCTGCGTGCGTGCGTAAAAAGGAAAAATCAGTGTTGGATGTGTAAACTGAGGGATGGGGTGCATTCCCCATTGATGAAAACGAGTGGGTGAAGGATGGATAATGCTATGATTCATCCTCACACCCCTAACCACCGCTGCCTCCACTGTCACACCCCATCCTCATGGCCCTATCTACACCTGGAACACGAGTGACCCTGTTTCGGGTCACATCCACTGACAGTAATTGTATATTGTTTTAACGTATTGATTCCGGCAGCATCCACCCCTCAGAAGGCTGCCCCCCCACCCCTGCCTCTGCTGGTGCTCACTTCTCTTAGCACAGCACCACCTCGGGTGCTGGATGTGAGGGGCGGGAGGTGCTGACCACTACCACAGTAACGCTGGGTTATAATGGGCAGCTCCATTTTACGAACTGGGATTAGAATGCGTTATAACTTCCACAGAAAGGGAAGAAAAGGTTCCTCTTACTTTAGCATGGCTTGTTCTTTATCCTCTTCCTCCTTTTGCCGAGCCATCACTGCCATGATGATCTTCCTCTCCTCCTCAGTCAGATGGCTGAGGTCCGGCAGGTCCGGCATGTTTGGCGTCGCGGTGGGTGGGCGAGGGCCACCCTGGGGCCCCACCGAAGCGGACATCTTTTCCACCACCACCACCACCCCACCTCCTCCTCCTGCTGCTCCTCCTCGGCGAGTCGTTTCGGCTGAAAGGTTTCCCGGAGCGTTTCCGAGCCACACCTCACGACATGGTCCGCGGGCGGAGCGGCAGCCGGGGACAGTGCACGCCGCTCATGGTCGCAGGCACCCTCGGTTGTGCTTTTGTTTGTTCTCTCTGGGTGTTTCTCCCACCACGCTCTCGTCGTCGTTCCCCCCCACCCCCTGGCTGCCCGCCTCAGCCCTCCACCGCCCAGATTCACGGGGAGCCCATGTCCGTTTGTCTCACGCCGGGAGTTGAGTCGAGCTGAGGGGGGCCCCTGCTGAATCTCTCGCCTGGGCTGTGGTGCCGTCGTCGGGCTGGAGCTGGATGCTGGGGCGGTATAGGCGGAGTCCGTGGAGCCTCTCTCTCTCTCCCCCCTCTCTCGCTCTGTCTCTCAGTCAATGGGATGCAGCCCTCCTCCTCTCTCCCTTTATTTTTGGCGGAGGAGCGCTTACTCATGTGAGAATGGGGTCCTCATCATCACATGCAAGCACAGCCTCTATGTGGCTTCTCACACACACACACACACACACACACACACACACACACACACACACACACACACACACACACACACACACACACACACACACACACACACACGCACACACACTCACGGCTCACAAAGTTTAACAGTCATTACCGTGACGGCGGCGTGTGGTGCAATGGGTTGTGCGTTGGTGTTTGGATCAGGGGTCACAGGTTCAAACCCAACTGCAGTCAGCATGTCGTTGTGTCCCTGAGACACTTCACCCCAAATTGCTCCTGTGGGGATTGCCCACAATATTGAGTATGTAAGTCGCTTTGGAAACAAGCGACATGTAATGTAATAACCAGCCTTCATCACCAGCCATTCTCGCGATACTTTCTGGTATTTTGTCAATTCATATATCAACTGTGCTATTTAAAGCTTGTTATATGAAGTCCATTATCAACATGCAATATGGGCCCTGTAAATTCTACTCGTTGATGCATTTCAGCACCATGGACAGCAGTAGTGTCTGGACACAGATCAAAATCTTCTCCAAAGTTTCTCTAACTGATCTTACAATTTGTTTGTCTCATCCAATGTAATGCAAATAGGAATATACCAGTGTGGAATTTAAATAACTTTTGAATTGGTATAAAGAAGGAAGAGTTCACATTATGAGAAAATGAAAACAAAGAAGAAAAAAACATATAAGATAAAGCTCAGTGTGTAGTTTCCCTGCAGAAAATTGAAACAAGTATGCATTAAGAGAATATAAAATGACATTAAAAATATTAGAAGGAACTGGTCAAAAGATAATAACTTAATAAAGTTAGAATGAAATGGAAACAATAACTGCTCACCCACACCCGAATCCGTGAACACATCACCCCCGTCCTCATCAAGCTCCACTGGCTCCTCATCCCCCAGAGAATTCAGTACAGAATCCTCCTGGTAACATACAAAGCCCTCCATAACCTGGCCCCATCCTACCTGACTGACCTCCTCCACAGACACAGACGCATAGCTTGAACCAAGAGAAAGTCTGCCTTGCAGCTAGGTGAAACATAGGACACACAAACATATGATACATACAATATAGTTACGTATATAGGCCGACACAAAACATATGCACAAATAACAATGTATTAAGTGACTTGAGAAACATAAAAAAGCATAAATATATATAATAATAAAAACGCAATAATAAAATGCGATGTGCAACAACTGCAACGTGTGCTGCTGTCTATTTTCCGTTAATGCAATAATAGTGGCACGAGAATGAATAGTCTATAACCTGATTTCTGTATGGATGCATATACATATGAAGCAGCTTATTCGATTATCTCAGAAAATCAAAGAAAGAAGTGGAGAAGAAGTTCTGTAGTCTGCTTGTCCTCAGTCTTAGTTCCTCTCTGCTCGTTGTGCATTCACCTCCACTCTCCCAGGCTATACCGGCCGGAGCTGCCACAGTGACGTCATGCCCGCTCAGTGTCCGGGTCCCTCCAGCAGATGGCATCACCCTGCCCGCTGCTGCAATCCAGCCTCCGTCACATGACGTCACACAGGAGGTGACTGTACCGCGGTGACGTCAGCTTCTCGTGGTGCAGAATTGTGTCATCATTTTGGTCGTGACTAGGGACCACCAGCCCCGAGTGACACAGTCGTGCTACAGCAAAGCAGATCTGTGCTGCAGACCTGAGACTAAAAATAGACCTGGAGGAGGATCGGTACTTTCACTGAGCCTGCACGTATTCCTCCGCTCACCTACTGGAAACATAGTCAATAGGATGAGTTCAAACCAACTTTTTAGTATGGTAAAATACTGAAATGGCTAAATATTTTGTAGCCTACTAAGTAACACAATCCATTGGGCTACACAACATTTTGTATCCAATCGGATTACTTTTGGATTACTTCAAAATGAATGCTGCCATAAACTGAACAGGCTTGGGGAGTAATGGATTACATGTGACAATATCACATAATCAGGAAAAACTCAAAGTAAAACGGTATACCCTTGCAGTTACATTTATAAAAACAAACAAATCAGATTTTTTTTAGATGTGGATTTCAAGCAGGATTACAATGTTACAACACATGTTAAAATAAATATTGATATATACACACACATTTGATTTGTGCTTTGTAAACTGTATGCATTCATGTATACTTTTATATTGTCTACAGTTAGGACACATTTTTGATAGAAAATATCTTGGTTTCTTGCATGGCATTTGATATTAAGGCAATCAAAAAGTTACAGAAGTAATCAGGTTACATTTCTGTTATACTTTGATATTCAGATAAGGTCACTGATTACATTTTTTGTTCAGGTAAATAGTAATTGTCATTTTAGTCTTTTTGTTACTCTGAATTTCTTTGAGGTAATTTTCAGTTTGTTTGTGTTTCTTGAGTTGTGTTAAAACCAAGGTGGACCCTGACACGTTGGGGCCCTGGGAATGCTCTTAAGGTCGGTTCTGAAATGCATCCATGAGCTGAAGGGGTTGGAACAAAATGAACATGCTACACATGTTTCTAAAATCCAATTTTCATAAGATGTCATGTGGTTGTTCAATTTAAAATAGAAAGTGACCTGAGTGTAACGTTCAACAGTAGGTGCCATACCATGTCAATATACAGTAAGTGATATCATTCAAAACAACATGGAAATGGACCATTTGTCATCGAAACTACAATTTTCAGTAATTATAGAACACTTATTTTTAGATTCTGACCAAGAAGTATATACAATGCTATTGTTTACTCTACATAACACCTAAATAAAGTGAACATACCGACATCTAGTGGACAGATAGAAACACTGCATATACAGGGAGAGAGTTTACTATTATGTTTTAAATCAGCTTAAGCCAAACTGTGACATTTGTTAAACGGAATTTAGTGGTTAACGAAGGTATATTGCAGATTATTGAGTGGAAAAGTCACAACGTGGGCCAACTTGTCCAGTATGCCTAGTTTATATCTGTCACATAATTGCAATATCTAGCTAAAGTTTGCTAACATTAGCTAACAATTAGCAACCAAAAGCTTTTGGTTATATCTGACAGAACTTTACGAAAATGATTTGGATGGGAAATGTGACTGAGCTTTAGGTTTGACCTAGTAAAAAGAAAGACCATCCCCTTTGTCTCAAAAAGCAATTGAGATTGAAAAAATTGATAATTATACAGTAAAATCTTTGTGGTTAAATATTCTCTCTCACCATGTGTGAAGGCTGTAACTACAGTTTCTTTTGTTTAAAATCATTCATACGCAGACACATTAGATTGAGTGCAGGCAATCTTGTTCAATTAAGTGATTGTTTATTGTGTGTTGTGTTAACCCCAGTTGTGTCATGGTTCATTGGACTGTGCCATTCTCCTAAAGCTGGAGGGGTGTTTAAAGAAGCCACTTCATTTAAGGCACCCATCTTTTAGTAGAAAATAATCTTCTCTTCTCTGCACTCAACTATGGACTGGCCAGCATTGTGTATATCCCTACAGTGTAGAGTGATGCCCGTGGGCAGATGTACGTGACCGGAAGGAAGATGGAAGTAGACACATGTGATGGAGCAGCTGGACAAGACCAGGAAGGAAAGATTTGTCAAGTGGCATAGGTAATAATGACAACAACGATGAATAAAAAACCTACTTGGCTCGAATAAAACCGATTGGGATCAATGTAGCTGGAGTTCTGTCTGACAAGCACGAGGTAGCAAGTTGAATCATGGACCAACTTGGCTATGTACAGTTAGTCGATGTGAAGAGAAGTTGGTCATTCTTGGGTGTGTGTCACAAGCACAGCTAAAGAAAGCGTTAACAACATTGGAGGATTACCAGGTTTCGAGTTTCAAACTTTCAGAGAAAGCTCCACTAAAAGGTGTCGTCGATGGAATACCATATTCACTTGATGCCAGAAGATTTAAAACCTGTGACAGAGTGGTAGACAGCCACGGAATCTACAGGATGAGTGATGGAGAACACACATGATCAGTTATGCTACACTGTTGTACAGAGTTCCTGCCGGACAAAGTATTCCGGGATCACATCAGAATTGCAGCTCCTACCTTCTGGTAGAGGATTCGGGGTTCCCAAGAACAGGCTGAACTGCTATATAAGCACTCATTCCTACCTATGTCCATTAAGCTTCTTAACATTCACATGAAATTAAACTTTTTAGATGTTGGCCATGAGGGTCGCCATTGTCAGTATGTGTGTCTGTGTATTGTGTTTGTTCAAATGGTGTATGACTGATGATATGTGTATGTCTCTTAATGTCTACTATGTTTGTATTTGTACATGTATGCGGAACTGCAGGACGGAGTCCAGAACAAATTTCCTTACGGGGACAATAAAGTATATCGTATCGTATCAGTTACCCAGTGAGGATGTTTGTTCCCGAGCCAATACAGTGCACACGGTGTTGAGTGTAGTCAGTTTGGGGGGGATCTCGAAGCATGGCCATCAAATTGTCCAAAGAGAGAAAGTGAGATGAAATGAATCAAGAATAGTTCAAACTAAACAATAAATTACAAAGAAGAAGCAAATAAAGTGAAAAGTCTATAAAATAGGGAGTGTACAGCAGGTAGGAGTCATGAGGGTGACTGTTTGTGTCATCAAATTGAGTTTTTACTGTTTTTGGACAGGGTGATCAACTGTGCTGCTGAGGCACAGAGACGATCAGAGAGAATTGAAATAGCTGTTGAACATATTGGAGAGGAAGTGCAGTGGCTGCTGGGAGAGGCTTCTATGCCCTTATATTGTACAAAATGAACCTTCTTCCATCTTAACGGATTGTGTTACCCATCCTAAACACTGTATATATATTTTGGCTAATCCCTATTTGTTCAACCTTAACCTGCTCTCCGCACACCCTGGTCCTTCACACGTGGCCTTTTAGAAACGCTTTACAGAGCATGGAGGTAAACTGATAAGG